TCTGCCAGTGATTAAGTACTCAGTAAATTTTAGTAACCAGTACATATAAATGTTAGGTATATTGTTTTGGTTAACATTGATATTATCATTTACAGTGATAGAATTACCTTTTGTGGAGGTCATACGCAATGCCAGGACACTAATTTTTCATCAACTTTGAGAACTTCTTCCCTGAGATGAGAATTCTGCCCAGAGGTAAACGCTGGGTAGGAATCTGACCTTGTTTCCTAAGTCAACTCTGCCTTGATTTTCCACCAAGAAATTGTTTGTTCAGGGCCCAGAGGGTACATTGGACACTACTGGAGTGTGAGTAGGTACAGGAGTGACTGTGAGGTCTTCAAGGTGTGATGCATTTCTGTAGACATTAGGATCCTCACAGTATAGCTGGAAAAGAGATCTTTATATATAGAGACTTCTCGTCTTCCCTAATTGGACTAGTGCTGGTTAGCATTTAAAATTAACTTGTTCTGTTTATACACAGAAACTATGCATTCATCCAGTAATAACCACCTTACGCTTTGGGTAGTGTATCTACTATTAATCCTGTGATCAAAACTACAGTGAATTTTACAGTTTTTAAAAAGTTAGCAAAGCAAAAGAGGTATCGCCATGAGCCCCCTCAAACACTTCCCCCTGCTTTGAGCACAGTCACCTCATTGTTCTTGCTACATCTGAGGTGGTTCTCGAAATCCTCTTTCATGAGTCTTTTTGAAATATGATAAAAATGCTTTGATTGCTGCTTTCTGGTGCTATCAACAGAAAAGCGGCTCCTAAAAACATGACATGGTGTCCTCATCCACCACAGCACCAGATCAGGCACCAAGAGACTCCTGACTCTTCCCCAGAGTGGAAATGACCGTGCAGGGCAAATGTTCCGAATCAATTCAGGACACCAGGGCGGCCAGGACAGTGCCACTAAAGACACGTATGAAAGAAGACATCAGGAACTGCTTCAGAAAGTGGCAAGCACGGTGGGACAGGTGTGTTCAAAGCGAGAGGGGTATTCTGAGGGGAATTAATGGCAGTTGTGTGTTTCAATGAACACATTTTGAAAAATTTAAATACTGACCATATTTTTCACTTATACTCCTTATACAGTCTTTACATGAAATATATGTAGTTCACAATCTCTCTACACATGAATGTATAATCTCCCAATGGTTGGTTGTATTGCATCAATTTGGGGAACGTGACAACATTTTAATACCTATGTATATTATGTAGAAATTGCCCTTCTGAGTATCATTTCCATATATACAGGAATCCAGATAGTCCTGTGAGGCGTTTTAGCGCATGTGCTGCTGAAGTGAGCACAATCCCATGACATTTAACTTCAGGTCGTGGTAATACTGATGGTCCCCAGCACCCGTGGGTGAGCTTTGGGGGAGTTGCTCATGTTCTAGCATAGGGCCTGCCTGGTGCTTGGGCAAAGGCCCCAGCCTTAGAAATTCAGCTCTGAAGACATCTGAACACACCTGTCCTCACAGCACTTTCTGTGAGGGGACTGGGTTTCAGCAGATGAAGAAGTCTGAGTGGGTGGCGAGAGGCGCCTCTGCCTGTGACAGCTCAGAGCAAAGCAGGACATCATGTCACTGTGTCACTGTACTGGGTATTAGTGCATCTCTGCACAGGTGACCATGGCAGGCATGTGGGGACCCACATGGGGAAGTATCTAGAAAGAGGAATAAGTCAGAATCCTTATCCAGGAGGGTTCATAGCATAGGTGGGAAACAGGAGTACAAGGGAAGAATGTTTGGCCTGGAAAAGAAAAACAGTTAGGATGGAATATCATTGCTGGCTTTAGATATCACATCATGTGCAAGCAGCTTTTCGGGGAACCAGAGCAGTTCTTTGGAACAGCAGGCTTGGCTGAGGTCCGAGGTTAAAGGAGGAAGAGCTACTCACAAATCCATCCAGTGCTTTATCCCTCGTCCTGTGCTCCCAACCCTCTCAAGGCTCGAGAAAGACTCCAGAACCCTTGAAGCCTGAAGAGTGAGGGCCCTCAGGGCTGGACTGGTCACTTCCTGTCTCCTTGCTCTCCCTGCCAGCACCAGGAGGCTCCAAGTCACCAGCCTGTAGCCTCAGATTTCTGCTCCTTCCTTACAGCCAGCTGGCCAGAAGATAAAGCCACATCTGGAACACTCCACTGCTGTGATTCTGAAGCTTTAATGTGCACATGAATCATCTGGGGTCTTGCTGAAATGCAGGTTCTGATTCAGGAAGTTTGGTTGGGTCCTGGGGCTCTGAGTTGGCCCTGGTGATGACCGTTTACAAGCGACACTGTGGCGGACAAAGTTTACTCCAAGTCAAGGTTCCTCCCTCTTCCCACAAGGTAGCTGAGTCCCATCATGCCAGTGACCACCCTTCCAAGGTGCTGTCAGGATCAAGTTCTACATCTCTGCTTGTCTTATTGCCTGGAAGTTGTTGTCTTATTCCCTTCTCAGCCTTCATGACACAGTTTTATCCCGATGTCACTTGGCTGTTCAAGGTTTCTCTCTCCCTGGTGTCATTTTCACAGTTAGCTAACTTACTTTTTCCAAAAACACATGGTCTTGAAGGGCATGGATTTCATCCCAGTTGTTTGAAACACAGCACTTTTTGATACTGCCTGCAACAGTACCCTAAGATACAGGGGTTCACTTGTGTCACACATTCTTTTTCACATAGCTGTACACTCATGATGACCACAAGGTAATCATTTACTCCAATGCTTTGTAAAGTGATCTTTAAATGATCTATTTATAATGCACTAAGTACTTGCTCAGTGAGGCCATAGCCCCGGGAATGCTGATTAAATCCAGTTAAATGTATTTACTTTAATGATTGTGTCAGCTGATCCCTGTGAACGTATCTAATTGTCATCGATTGCAGTTATTTTAAAGTCATGTCCTTTCCCCCAGGAGTCAATTATTGGTCAAAATAGAGTAATTGGGAGATTTCTTGGGACATTTGAAGCTTGGTAAAATCCCCACTATAAGATCATGGTGCTTTTCTGCACTGGGTGTGCTGTGGGCTTTGGGGCAAAGTACTCAATATCTGTGATCATGTGCAAACCCATCAGAAAAATAGGCAATAATAATACGCATTTAAAAGTGGAACAGGACAATGCTCGTGGAAGCACCTGGCCTGTTCCTGGCACATGACACCCATTCCTTCCCTTGCCTTCTCTTTGGGGGTTTCCTACTTTGTAAGGGTTTGTTGGGAAGGTCACATTTTACTATCTGCTTTGTTAGTCTCAATACACCTTAAGAGAGGGACCCTTAGTTTACTATGTTTTAAGCCTTTCATTGTTTGTTTGGTAAAGACATAGTGAGTGAATTAATGAATGATCAGATAATCTGTAAGATCTTCTTCACTTTTCAGTCACCTGATCAATTCTACTCTTTCAGCTCCTTAGGAGAAATGGGATAATTTCCTTAAAATACATTTTAAGGAAATGTATTTTCTGATCTTATTAATTTGTGCTTTATTAATTATTGCTAATATATTTGTACCTGGGACCAAGACCTGGCTTCTGTTGTGTAAATAACTTCTTCAATTTATGCTTGGTTCTTTGTCCTGGTGTAAGAGAGGAGAGGTGAGTCAGAGGCTGGTCTTGATTCTCTTCCCGTGAAATTCTTTCTTGGGAAGATCCCTTGTGAGACATGAGCAAGAAATATGCATTTATTCTCTGATGTAAGATTTGGGAATTGTGAGTAATATGGGCTGAGTTTCATGATGTATTCATTTCATCCTCATAGAAGACGTGCTTTACATTTTAGATTAAATACAATCTGGCTTTTAGGATCAGGCCCACCCCGTGGATAGGAGAGAAGCAGCAGGTCCTTCCGGATCTAGTCACAGTGTGGTCCCTGTCCAAGTAGTCCTTGCCTTGTCCTGTGAACACATTGCCGGAGGTTGGCATGGAGGTCACACTGGTCATGACTGAAGGTGTCCTTTGGGTTGGCCGTAAGCTGCTAAAAAGTACACAGACTCTAATTGAAATCTGGGTTTAAACCTTGTCCTGGATGTGTTGTTTAATCCTTAAGTCTCATTGTTTTTAATCTTTGAAAAGTGATAATGATATTGGTCATGTAGTTTTTGTGGGCAATAAATTACATCGTGCAAGTGACCTGCTAGCATGATGCCTGGCAGCTTGGTAATGCCCAGTGTTGATTACTCAGTGATGGTGACTCATCTCAAAAGCGAGGTGTCAAAGATGAAATGCTGCTGTCACACACAAAGTTGCCAGCTCTGCCAGGTGTCAGAAGCATGTCCCATGACCTGCTGTACTTTGGGCTACAGTTCTGATCACAGTAGTGGCACTAAGAATTCCTCATGGGCCTGGAATTCACAAAAATCTCAGGAAAGAGATAGCAACTGCACGTTTCATTGTGTGATAATTTCAAGTACTGATTCATAAGTGGTGGCTTTAACCTCTCTTCCCCTGGTCCTCATTTAGGAATTGTCCAGTTAAAACTTTTTGTCCAAGGGAAAAAGAGTAGGAGGCTTAGGAGGTGAAAAAGAAGGAAAGGAGCAGGAGGAAAAGGGGGAAGAAGGAGACTTAAATAACCCTTTTGCTCTTGCAATGTGTTTCAACCTCCAATGTCTAATATGAGTTCTATTTTTATTAACTCTTGAAAAAGTTCAAATAGCAGTTCTAAAACTAAACATTAATGCATCCTTTTCACATGAATGGCCTTTCTCAGACAGCAGGAGCAGAGCTCTGAGCTGTGCTCCTCAGTGTGTCAGAGCCCTGCACCAGGCTTGTTGATTAGCTGTGAATCCTTATTCATAGCAGATCCACTGGTCTCCATTTCAGAGGTGCAAGGTGCTGCCATGAGGACTCCCCAACAGTGAGTGAGTGGGGTCCCACCTGCACAGTTGATTTCAGCTCATGGTTTTTTTGTGGTGCTTCACTGATTTTAGAATCTGAGAGACCTGCTGTAAGGAGGTGGGGACTGATGAGAGCCACGCTACCCAGAATGGAAATAAAACAAACTTTGTTCCTTTGCATGCAGCTACTTTGAGCTGGAGAGCAGTGGCCTGCGGGATGAGATTCGCTATCACTACGTGCACAAGGGGAGGTCCAGGACAGAGGCACTTCCCTACCGGATGGCAGATGGGCAGTGGCACAAGGTGGCTCTGTCAGTTAGTGCCTCATACCTCCTGCTCCACGTGGACTGCAATCGGTAAGCCTTTGTCTTTGGTCTTGAGTGATTCTACCCTTGAAATCAGGCAGTGGGAAGGGGAAATAAATCAGACCCTCCACGACTTGCCAGGAAACAAACCCAAGGGACCTTAATTGTCATTTAACGTATGGAATGGTCCATTAGGCATGCTGAAATGACCAACCGTAATACAATAAGAAAACAGCTCATTAAGATGAAACTGTACCCTGTGATCAGGAACAAATGCACAAAAGGCTGATTGCAGACTGGGGAGTATTAAATGCACCTCAGTGTGCGCCAGGCTTAGCTGAAATTCCGTGGAGCTGTGACTGCAGTTAACTGTGATGTATTGTTGTTGAGTTCATTCCACTTGGGAGCGAATAAGCTGGTTTCCCTTAGAATACATCTGAGAACCGGTGGCTACTGAAGCAGCTAATTCTATTTACTTCATCAAGCACAACTTTGCTTAAATGTCTTTTCCAAATGGAGCCTCTGAAAGAGGCTGTCCTTGGGCTTTTTTGAAATTGAATGTCTTCCATTCCTTTCAGAGATATAAGCCTTCTAGCTCATTAGAGTGGCACTATGATGTGTGAGGCCTGGGGTTTCCTCCAGGGGCTGTGTGTTGTGGTGAAGAGCGGCACTGAGAGCTGATGAAGGGAAAAGACCATTGGTCTTTATTGGGTGATTTGTACCTGGACAGCCAGGTAATGGTGGTCAGGGAAAAAGTTTCAGTCTCCTCCGAATCTCCTGAAAATCCTTATGGAGAGTAACCCAAGTCCAATTATATTTTTATTTTTATTTTTTGCATTCCGAGAAGTGTCCATGCATTATTACTTCTTGTTAATGATGCCTTCAAGGTTAGAATGACTGTTCAAGCACATGGCTCAGTTCTGAGCCCTGGAAGCAGCACAGGAGGCTGGGAACAGTGTGCTTTCCAGACCTATCCATGAGGGGATAGTTAAAGAGCAGTCAATGATACACTATGCCTTGTGTTGAGATTCGCCAATGTGCTTGTTATTCTAGCTCTGGGGTCTCTTTTACAAGATCTGGAAGAGCAGGAACCTAGTGTCAGGTTCAAAGGAAGTGCTGGAACACTGAAGCGAGTCTCACTCCATTTTGATGTGGTTATTTAAGATGCTTTGTGGACTTCTGAGTCCAACTAGATTCAACTAGATATAATATGCGCGCCCAAACAGTTTCCAAAGAAACTCTGGCTCCTTTCTCCCCTGAAGGTGTGGTCTACGCAGCCTGGATAAAGCCAGTACTTTGTTCCTCCTTCCTGAGCTCATTGGCAGATTTGGTTTTCTAGAACTAACGGGGTCTGCCAGGTAGCACTGTTTCCCCAGGGCCTCCAATGCCCAGGCTGTCAGGAGGAAGGGCACTGCTTGCCAGAAAGTGGGCTTAGATCATTGCGTTGAGTAATTCTCAACTGCGAAGTCCCACTTGCTGTTTTCTTGTTATGCATTTTTTCTTCTTTTTTTCCAAAAGTTTTATTGTTTCTTCACATCTTTCTCTTTGGAGAAGAGAAAAAAGAGGAAACTGAATCGGCCACTGTGAAGCCGGAGTTCCCTGTCCTTGCATGTTCTCTGAGGGTTCCTGTGAAATGTTTTTTCCTGCCATTCTCAGTCATTTGTTAGCTGTATAAATTTAGGCAGGTTAATTTCCTTGCCTCTCAGCTTCTTTATTTGTAAAAAAGAAATACAAATATCAATGTGGAATTACTAATGCTAATTATTCACTACTTAATTACGGTTTAAGCCAACAACAGGCAACTTGTAAGACAGCGATCCCATGAGGTATGTCGCCTGATGACACTGCAACCTCCTTAGTTTGTCTGAGCACACAGAATGATGAAATCACATAATTATGCACTTATCAGCAAGCATCCCTCCTCTTACCACTGGGAATGTCCAGCAAGGTATTTCTTGTGAAATCCTGGGGATGGTGCTTGGCCTTTGCTATTGAATATGCGTGTGTGTTTGTGTGTGTGTGTGTGTATGTGTTGTGTGTGTGTGTGTGTGTGTATGTGTTGTGTGTGTGTGTGTTTGTGTGTGTGTGTGTGTATGTGTTGTGTGTGTGTGTGTGTGTGTGTGTGTGTGTGTGTGTGTGGTATAGTCTGAATCTGCGGTGTTCCCCATTCGTGCCTCCCAGCTTTCCTCCCTGTGCCCTTCATGACTCTGAGGACCTCTTTCCTGGGAGAATGGGAGAGGATGAGAAGTCTGCAGCTTTAAGATAAATCCATGCCGTGTCTCTTTGCTTCTCTTGATGTTTTTCTCTTTGTGGCTTATGACATGACATGTCTCCTTTGTGTAAAGTCTTGGGATTGGGGAATATATATATATATATATATATTTGTAGAGGGAACTGAACTCAGGACCTTGCACTTGCCAGGCAGGCAATTGCTCCCCTGAGCTGTACCCCTGGCCCAGAGCGGGGAGACCATATGAAATTGTTGCCAGTTAACTATTCAAAAACCCAGAACACAAGTAAGCTTTCTAGATAGGTCAGGGGATAAAAGGATTCTGAAAGACTGATTCATAGGAGAAATAAATTTTGATTTTTGTTCAGGAAAAGTCTAAAGATGTGATTCCCACATCTGACTATTCCTAAGAATTGCCTGAGGAACTCATAAAAATACAGATAGCCAAGCTCTGTCTCTGACCCACTGGATCAAATTCAATGACAGTGGAACCAGTGAAGCCATATTTTTATATTTTAATTTTAATTGACACACAATATTTGTTCATATTTATGGGACACAATATGATAATTTATCTATACTATTTATAGTGATCAAATGAGGGCGATTAGTGTTTTCATTTTCTCCAGCATTTATCAGATTTACATGTTAGGAACCTATAAACTCTTTAGTTGTGCTCATATATATAATGAGTTGTTGTAGACTGTAGTTATCCAGCTGTGGCTTAGAACTCTAGGACTAATTCCTTCTAATTCTCTGCATTTTGGAACTGATTATTTAAATGTTTTCTACCCACCCCTTAGTCCTCAACCATTATTCTACTCTTTTCTCTGATGAGGCAGCTTTGTTAGCTTCTGAATGAATGAGAACCTTCAGTACGCCTCTTGCTGTGCTTGGCTTTTCTCATTTAACTCGACGTCTTCCAGTTCTACCCCATTGTCTCAAATGACAGAATTTCATTTTTATGGCTTAATAAATATCCTAATGCACATATATTTTTAGGAAGTTCTTCTTGTGGTTTTCATGCAGGCAGGCAAGGCTTGAAGCTCGGTGCTGGATTTTAAGAGCCTTGTTTTGGGTGGAGAGGATGGACCTAGTGGAGAACCTGGGTTGCAACAAGTGAATGAGCGCTTGGAAAACCAAGAAGCTGAAGCAGAGCCCTGGAAAGGTAGAAGAAAGAATAAGGAGAGGGCAAGCTGTAGCGGGCAAAATGAAGTCACTCTCCTTACGGGAGTCTTCCGACCCAGTGCTGACCGACCTCAGGAGCAGAGGCTCTGTCCCCCATACCAAGATGCTGGTCTACCATTTCTCGCGTAGACACCTCTCACAGCAAGAGGATGTCACAAAGGCTCATTTTCACTCTATCACCATGTGTTTCATACCACCTGCAGGTTCTTATTTCTGGATCCATTTCACCCTGGGAGTTATGCTCTTGTTTTTCTCAAGCTCCTCCCCACGGTTATTCTGCTGACTAGGAGATACACAGAGATGACAGGTAATGTGCATTGGGCACTGATTGTGCTTAGCCCACTACACAGATTGACTCATTTCATACCCATACTGCTGTTTTTCTTTTTGTAAATGAAGAATCCCAGTATTATGTTATCTGTCTGCAGTCCTGCTGCTCATGGGTGACAGCACTGGGATTTGAGCCCGTCTGACTCATGGGTGCCTCTGACTTCTAGGCTCTTCAGCTCTTTCCTGTGCGTGTGCTGCCTGGAAAGACATGGGCTCCAATGACCGAATTCATCACGCTGATTTGGGAGGAGAGACGTACACTAATGGAACATGTTCTACAGGTTGAGTGATGGACTGGGCTTTACATTTCCTTGGCACAGCCATGTGGGGACACTTTTATTAGATCCATTTTATAGATTTGTAAATAATTAGGCTCCAAGAGATACATACTTAAGTTTTAGTATCATCATATTATAAGAAGCACCAACATGAAACCTTAAGCTAACGTACCTCCAAAATCCAAATCTTTTCACCCTTCCACACTATCTGCATAGTATGCTAATGATGTGCATTGCCCAAGACACAATCACAAGCACACCAGGAGAGATGCTATGGATGGTCACAATCAAACATAAAGCCAGGAAGAAGAGATTTCTCACGCAATTCTATTGCTCTGGAGAATTTTAGTATGCTAGAATTTCCCACTATTTTTTCCATAAAGATAGAATTGAGAAAACAGAGCGTTTCCAGACCTAATTACATAACTTGTCACAAGAAAAGCAACTGCTATTTCAGTCAGTGGTTCAACACTTTGTGCTTGCTACTGGGACTTACGCTTTTTTCCTTGCTTCAGCTGTTTAGCTGGATCTAGTTAGATGCTCCCTATATACTGGAGACAGATTACCCCAAGGTGGAAATGTGAAAGACAATCTTTAGGTGGTGTCCAGGCTGTTTATCTCCACTGCCTTGGGTTTTTTACAGCTGTTTTTATATTAATAGTTGCCAACAAAGCCCAGAATAAGACCAGAACTAATCTTCTTTCCATTTTCAACTCACTTGGCAGCCTGTCCTCATTATTCAAAGGACAGAATTCATCAGCACCTGGAATTCACATAAGCAAATCTTCCCCACTCACCAACCAGAGAAACACATTTCCTTTCCTTTATTTGGTAACTTGTAATTTTCATTCAGCCCATCAATTAGTTTATTGGGCAGCTCTGCAAGGCTGAGTAGGAGACAAAGAATTAAAAGAGTTTGAGCCACCAGGAAGTTCATGGCTTATTTGTTTAATCATTTAAAATTCATTAGAAACATTCCCCACATCATAATGGAGGGAAGGGAAGGGAAAGAAAGGGAAGTGCTG